TTCGGTTCTTGGGGATGAAGAGAATTTGTCTATGAAATTTCCTTTTTATTAAACCCAAGAACCATCTAGGTATAAGGTATGGGAGATAGATACCATGAGTTTAGAGAAGTAGAAAAACTTGGCCATAATCAAAAAATTACCTCTATCCTTTGAAACAAAAGAGATTTTAAAGATCTTCATGTTGCCAAAATGTTGAACAAAAATTTGAGCATAAGTGCTTTATTATTAGTAGTTAGTTATTGATGACTAGGTTTTGATGTTATTTCTAACTTTGTGTTTTCTTGTTATTGTAGATTTCATGGCTCAGAATCTTAACTTCAACTGGAAGAGTCTCCAAGCTGTTGTACAAGGTTCCTAAGGTGTCAAGAACTCTACTATTAGGAACCACACTTTTGAGAACCCGACTACCGATACTCTCAAGGCCACCCCTTCCAAAAACCCTCTACAAGTCCAAAAGTCTTAAATGTCAACCCGACCATTGCTATCAGACACACCAAAGTGTTGCCTCCTCATAACACTCGCAAGGAGAAGTAAAGGAAAAAAAAAACCCGAGGGTACTTGTGAGACCCCTCATCCCCGCAACCTCTCTCCCTCTCTTTGCTCATATCTCTTCTCCCTTCCGTTTCCTTTTCTTTCCAAGCTCTTGATCCTTGTTGCCGATTTCTTCTCCTTAGGCTGAGTTGGAAACATCAAGGTGGTGCTTTTCTCGTGGAGCTTGTTGAAGAGCGGAGCTTTCTTTTTCTCCTTCTTCCATTTCTCTCTTCCCGTTGTCCCGGAGCATGGATTTCTCTTCACCGAGGTAAGGGAAGTTAGTTATTTGTTTGTGTTGGCTGTTTGGAAGTGAGCTAGAAACTCACATGATGATTGATTGTTGCGGATTGATGGCTGAGAATGACAAAAATGGATTTTTCCGGGGTTTTGGGGTTTGGGTGAAAATTTGATGATCTTTCCTTGTTTGTAGATGCATGTTGAAAAAGCTATTATTTTCGGGTTGTATGATGAAAATGTGATGTTTTGGACCGATTGCATGTGCCTAGGGTGTTGATTTTGCAGGTTTTGGGTGAAATTTTCGAACTCGGGAGGGTTCCTGTTTGAATTTGCACCGGGCGCAGTTCTTCGAGCCGGGCGTGAATTGAAATAGGGAATCCCTGGGTGAATAGCACCGGGCGCGGGGAGAACCAAGCCGGGCGCAATAGACATTTGTAGGTCTCTGGTTGAGAATTACGCCGGGCTCGATTTTAATGCGCCGGACGTGAATTTGATTTTCAGAATTTGACTTTATAGTCTTCATGAGAGTTGTAGCCTTGGATGTTGGCTTTCCAATGGCGCAGGAATCACCCAAAAAGGAGTTTTAGAACTCCAGATATGGCCGGTTTAGTGAAGAGGGGGCAAGCTTCTAGCATTACTTATAGCTGTTGCTGTTTTGAGAATTTTTAACAAGGTAGATGAAGGAATTAGGACTTGGTGTCTTCATGAGAGTTGTAGGAAATCTTCTTATCTTTAATATGAGATAAGGATGAGTAGGGTAGGAGTAGTATAACTCCTGATGCGCGGTTTTCTGTGAAGGCTGCCATTTCACTTTTAATGATTTGGTTAAGTTAAAAGTTGTTTTAGGTGCTTAGGTGTATTGGTGTTGTTCGGGTGAGTAATTTGACAAGATAGATGAGTTGTAAACAAGATGGTTGGGTCGTATTATGTGTTGAACATGTTGTACATTGTGAAGTTGTTGATCATGTCGTTTTAAGTTGTTAATGATAAATGTTATTGAGCTGAATGATGATATTGATGTGCTGCGCTGAGCGCGGCCCTTGTCGCATTGGGCGTGAGACTCCTTGGGAGTCTCTACCTCGAGGGCGTTCGGCGCAATTTGGTTTGCGCTGGGCGCGAGACCAAGGGAGGTCTCTGCCTTGCCTGCGTTGGGCGCGGGTTGGGGCACGCCGGGCGTGTGAGACTCCTTGGAGTCTCTGCCTGGCCTGCGCTGGGCGCAATTGGGTATTGCGCCAGACGCGAGAGAGCTTTGGACTCTCTGGCTAAGTCTCGCCGGGCGCAGGCACGCTTGCGCCGGTTGTGCCACGCGGGGCGCGACCATGAGTGCGCCGGGCGCGTATAAGGATGTGAAGTTATATGATGAATTTGATGATAATATGGTTTTATGCTGAACTAAGCCGAAATTGATGAATATGATGTGATGACTAGCTGAAATTGCTGTTTGATGATGTTGAGCTGTGTTAGGTGTATATTATTGTAAGATGCTTAGATGTGCTGTAAGACGATAGGCTGTGCTATTAAGATGAGCTGTGTTGTATGTTGTTAATGATGTGACGCTGAGTTGTGCTGTGTGATGCTAATGCTGAACTTTATCGTTGAGTCGAGCTGAATTATATGCTGATAGTTGTTGGATTATGCTGAAATTGCTGAGCTGAGATGTAATTGATAAATATGTTGTGCTGACTAGATGTAAATGCTAAAAAAATGATATTAAGCTGTAATAGATGTATATCGTTGTGCTGAGTTGGGCTGTATTTGATGATTTTTAAATGCTGATTTATAATATGGCTGTGCTCTAGAATGATGAGCTGAGTTGTGAGTAGTAAACTGTGTTGAATACTACTTAGCTGTGATGTATGCTGATTTTGCTGTGCTGTGCTGTGAGCTGTTTTGCTATGCTGTTTATTGTTGAGCTGTATGCTGTGTTTAGCCACTATTGTGGTGTTGTTATAGCCGCTAAGTCGGTGCTGTTAGCCACTATTGTGGTGCTGTTATGCCCGATATGTCGGTGCTGTTAGCCACTATTGTGGTGCTGTTATAGCCGCTATGTCGGTGCTGTTAGCCACTATTGTGGTGCTGTTATAGCCGCTATGTCGGTGCTGTTAGCCACTATTGTGGTGCTGTTATAACCGCTATGTCGGTGCTGTTAGCCACTATTGTGGTGCTGTTATAGTCGCTGAGCGATACTAATATTGCTGAATTGTTGTGGTGTAGTATAAGCTGTGCTGGTGTGCTGATAGCTGTAGGTGCTTTTATTTACATATTTATGTATGTATGTTGATCTTTTTACACTAGCTTACCCTTTGTTGTCTCCATGATGTTTGGACTGCAATGATCATACTATGTATGGGAGCAGAGCAGGGATAGGTTGGTGGCTAGCGGTAGGTCCGTGGCTGACAGATGGAGCTGATCTGTTTTAGACCTTATGTTGTTTTAGCTACTGGGTGTAGTAGCTTTGATGTATTTTGTTGTACACTCTAACTCTAATCGGATTGGAACCTTGTATATACATATATTCTAGATCCTATATTATATACTTGTCCTATCTGTCTGGTGTTTCCGGTGTTCTGTGCCTTGTGTCTAGCTGGGTCGTTACAGTACTCAATTTGGAATCCCAAGAAGCCTTACTTTAGCCCATCAACTACATGATAATATTTTAAAAGTTTAGCATCTTTGGTGTGATACTCACCTTTTAGTTGTCAACCACTAGTTGCGAGTCACTCTTGCATAGCAAGTGTTTGGCCCCCATCTTCAAAGCCAATCTTATTTTTCCAATAAGGGCTTCATACTTTGCTTGGTTGCTCATAGCTTTGAATCCAAACTAAAGAGATTATTCAATGAACAAGCCTCTTAGACCTTCCAAGAGAATTTTGACTCCACTTCCCCTCTTACTGGATATAACATTTTTTGTAGTATGTTCAAATTTATTTGAATCTTCATTTTATTGGCTATAGTTTAAAGACTTGTCTAGAAAGAGTGATCTTTCTATTT